TTGCTATTGTTTGTAATTCAAATATCTGTGGTGATCCTTTTGGATGGCCCACAAAGCAACAGGTGCAAAGATTGTCTATACATGTTGTGACAATTTCTCTGAAGTTTACTTCAAGTTTTCTAATTTAGCCAACCAACAAACATTTAAAGACAACCAGAACTAGAATGTAACATCCATAAAGGTACATTATTGGAACATAATTTTTCTAATAACCCTCATTTCCAGAGATAGCTAAATCAAGACTAATTTGTTTGTAGAACAAGTCCAGTTTTAACAAACTCGGCCTAATTATTTACATAAGCTCAGCAAGAAGAGAGATTGTTCATATAGATGTTTTAGAATTTGCTTTGCTGGAACTTTTCATAAGGAATCTCTAGATTGAACTATTAGTAGCCTCTGCAGTCCAGAAACCAAGCCAAGTGCTTGCTGTCAGACATGCCCGCAATACCTGTAGATTTGGGCAAATTCCTTTCCAGGAGGTCCCAAAGATATCCTGAGGTTCCTTCACCTGTCAGGAAGTGACATTCTTTACTCAGCCGGTAAGGCTGCTGGGAATTCTGTAAGCAAGGTATCAGGCCAGCATTTCCAAGGGGTTTCATTGGCTTCACGCTTCCTAAAGTCAACCTTAGTTTCTTAAAACTGTTGGGTCATATCTGAGTCTATCCATGTCCTTCTCAAATATGACATTCCGGTCAAAGCCTTGGTAAAATAACCAGTATTTCCAATGGTGTCCTGCTACAAGGAGAACAGATTCTTATTGAACCTATGCAAATAACTGTAATTGCCATGAAAGAAAGAATACTTACTGAGAGCTTTTGAATCTCAGAGGGTTCAGGTAGAGAGAAAAGTTAAACATTTTAGTTTGTTTACAAATGAATACTTTATCACATTTCTGTATGTCATAGATATCTTAAGAGTAAGTTTTTTTAAGCTGGAAGAGCACACGTTAGAGAACCAGCAAAATTTCCAACAAGGGTCAGAAAAACTATAATCTTTCTCCATTTATTTAGTCCAGCATTACTAATTCTTATTCAGTTTGAATGCAGCTTTTTAGTTCTGGAAATTTTTACCCATTTGTTTCATGATCTTAAAGATGTGAAATACCTGTACTTGTCCCAAAAGTCCTTTTTATAAAACTCCTTGAACACAAAACATATTTTGTAAGAGCATCAGAGTAATAATTATACATAACAAAAGACTCAAAAATGGACATGGCTAACAATCTGATATGAGAGTTCATTACGATGTTATTGACAAGGAAATTTGGTTATTTCTATGACACATAACAGTTCAGTAATCGGAATATCGAGTAATGACCTTATACCAAAACATATTAAAACTTTAGGAATTATATATATATATATGTATATATATATGTGTATATATATATACATATATATATACATATATATATATATATATATATAAGCAGTTACAGCATTTACCCAAGCAATACAACCTAAGGTTTACCCAAGTAACACACCAAATAAAAAGGCCCAATTGGTCAGAAATATTTTCTTTATAATTTAAATCCTGGGAAGTTTGTTAAAACCTTAGAAAGTTATAAAGCACTTCCTAAATAGGATAACAGGTCATTACAAATCTTAATTATTTATTTAACCAATGTGGCAATAAGAGATTCTCAAGGCAGGTGTGTAGGGTTATATAGTTGTTAGCAAAACCTGGCTCCTTTAACATTGAGAAGTTTTAACTAAGTAATAGAAGACCTGATAAAGACAAAACATAAAGCTTGGGTTTTCCTGGCAGACAAAAGAGAAAAGACCTTTGTTTACATTTTTCTTTTTAAATCAACAGAGACCAACAATCCACCAAAAAATTGTCTTTCAACAGGGAGAAAAGCAGAATTCTAATCTTATACTGGTATACCTTTAAAATCCATTCATTTCAATCTGTTTTGACTGCATCTAAGGTTCCTTCCCAAAGATTTCCTTTTACAAACCTTCTACAACTCTTTTGCATTCAGATTTTGTTCCAAGCCATTTCTCTCCAATCAACCAGTCTCCTTTAGCAAAATTACCTTCAAGAAACATGTATTCCCATTCCTTATATCTTTTTTACATATCTCCTACATTTCTGCACAGAGTTGCTTTCCTTATTTTCACCAGTCTTAATTACATTCAGCAGAATTTTAATTCTTAAAAACCTTAGTCTCCGGTGAAAACCAAGTAGTGAGGAATTGTGAACTGTTACACCAGAATTCTTTATATGGCAAATTTATTAATCAGTTAGCACAAAGCAGGTTTTCCAACAGGCCCAAATATCTTTAGTTTCTCTGCAATAAGTAAAAAACACAAACCTACATTTAATAATTAATGGTCTAGCATTTTATCCCAGTTGGAAAAGACCTAGATGTCCAATTAATTTAATTTCAATTTTCATCCAAACAAAACCTTAAAGTTTCAGGTTACCAAAGACTCTGAAAGCTATTTTAACAATTACCCATGAAAACTTTTGAGACAGAATTAACTGTCATTTTAAGTAATAGTTTTGTTAACAAATTGCAAAAGAGATAACACGAGCTTATTTGAGCCTCAGCAACCTAGGTAAAGAAGTTTTATATTTAATATTGATAATTCTAAACACGTGTCTATCTTAATTAAACCAACAAGCTTAAATTAGTTCAAACACTAAATACATTCCACTTGGGTCCACTTACAAAGCTAAGCAACTTGTTCATCATTGTCAATTTTCACTTGGGACGTTTGTGGGGAAATCTGAAGTGGGCAATGTAAGTCCAAGGAGGTGCTCTTCGCTCTTTGACAGCTAGGGGAGGAGGAGGAGCTGATGGTGCCAGAGGCAAGAAAGACACAGGACACACCCAAGGTGGTGCAGAAACACAAGGAGGGGAGGGGAGGCAGAAGAGGTGAGGTGCAGCCAGGAAGGCAGGAGGTGGATAAAAGCCCAGACAGAGGACAGAGAAAGAGGCCTCCTGGTATTAAAGCCTGTCAGCTTGGACAGATAAACAGATGCAGATTTTTTCCCCCACCAACAAGTGGAATTAGGCAGTCCATGTCAGCCCTGAGAAGACAGGGAATTTCCTTCCCCCAAACAAAAGGAGTTTTTGTAGCCGCTTGGGAATATTCCTTAAAGTCTCCTTCCTAAGGTAGACTAACCAGAGACAATTGGCTCTAATTATCATAGTCATTAACCCAGGAAATGAATGAGGGAGAAGCCCCCATGTATAGCTAGAGTAACCTGAGTCTATTAGGGGGGAGGAACAGTGAGAGAGCGTGTCCCTTCATTAGGGATAGCCTGTATTTCCTCCAGCAACCTGGGTTTATTCAGAGGAGACCTGTTTAGACAATGATCCAATATATCAGGAGGTTATCAGCCTGGTTAGTGGCCAAACACATTCTGCACGAGGCCCTCCATTCTGGATCCTGATTTAGGGCCATGAAAGCTTGGACATAGGGTACCTCAGTCCATTTGTCCTGTTTCTTGTAGAAGAGATCTAACTGATATATCCTATCAGGCCCATGCAGTGTTACAGAATATCAGTCCTTTCCTAAATTTTGCAATCCAAAATGATTCCAGTGGATTAAAAGGCATACCAAGGGAGAGTCAGGGACTCAAGAAGACCCCATGCTTCTAGAAAAGTAGAGAAGGTCTATTACCAAAAATCTCCCCCACCTCCCAACTCCCAGGTGGCGTCCCACACATGATATGTCTGAGGTTCCTGGTGTCAAAGAAACCGGAGGCATCCCTTGAACCAACTCGCTGTGACCACCGGCCAGCCGCTAGGGACCCCCGGAGAAGGGAGGCTAGCGTCCCTTCACTCCCCCATTGCATTCCAGGCAACAAATGTGTGTCTGGCATATGGATGGAAATACTGTGCCATGCTGTGCCTTGAAAGCCATGCCATAAAAGGCCATGCTATAAAAGCCTGTGCCTTAGTGTACTTTGTCTTGAGGAGCATGCCATGAAGGTCATGCCTTAGTTTCCTTGAAGGCTGTGCCATTTTTAACCCATGGAAAACACTAGAAATGTTTTACAAGGGGGAATTACCCAATTCTGTAATTTAAGTAGTTACTAGAGGACATTGACAAAAAAAGAGTAAACATAGAAATCCATCATGATCTAAGCGACATTCCGACACATATAGTCTTTACGGCCAACTTCCCTAGGAAATGGTCCCCGGTTGGGGTTTACTTCAATCGTGTACTGGTTTCAGCTGGATCCCAGTAGAGATCTTGTAGCCAAAAGTGGCTAGACCAGGGATGTGGAGGGGATCACATTAGACCAATAAGGAGGAAACCTCACACAGGAGTCATAAGATTGGGAGCTGTGCTAGTTTCTTAGGTGGCTGTCCCATGCCCAAGAAAGACAACGTTGTATGAAGACAGGAATAAAGAGAGGGCATCAAGTTTCTGGGTCTTATTACCATTCTGGCCAGGATACTAACTTCCAGCCAAAAGGCAGGCTTTCCCCTCCCTGGAGAGTGGCTGCGGGCTAGAGGATTGTAGACTAAGCAATCAACATGGAAGTGTTCCAGTAAGACCACGCTCCTTGAAAAGCCCCTGAAAAATGAGAGTAAAGGAAGAAAAGAGAACGTACTCACCAAGTTTGAACCAACCTCACTGGTGACCTATGACAGGCAGATGCTTCCTGAGGCAACAGCCAAGGGACATCAGCAGTGTGAGGCCAGGGGAGGTAAGGCAAATGTTTTAAAGGCAATTCATATATCAAGTCTTCATTTAGCAACCATGCAGTAGCTGTTTTGTCCCCGTGAGCCAACACGCTGGCTTAGGTATCCTTGCTGTGGGATGATAGCAGATATTTTGTCCCTAATATTTTCAAAGGGTGTGTCTATATTATACATGGGTGTTTTGGGTGCCACTCATAATAGTAATTCCACCGCAGTACCAAATATCAGCAATTCAAAAGCAGTTATTTGTATGAGAGTTGGGCTCTGACAATATAGAACAAGAGGTCAAAGGCAGCACTGGGTGTGAGCCCTTGGCTTCAGTGGGTTAGGACACCAACCACCAAGGGTGAGGGGAGGGGGGGACATTTGGATCCAACTGCAAGTGTACTAAAGTCTTTGCATGTGGGAGGTCTTGTGGCAAATACAAAATGAGTCCTTCTGCTACTGAATACGCCTCAAGCCTCCTGACAGTCCCCATACCCACAGTGCCCCAACTATGGGGGTGTTGTTTGTTAGATGTTCACATGTTGATGTTTTTCCTGCTATTGGTATGGCCTTCAGGAGACACATGACCTCTCTTAGTTGTGGAAACCATTCCTTGAAGGAACTATCTGGTGACAAAGTCTTTAATGCCTTCTTTATGTTAAGCAAGTAGGGTTGCATCTAGGAATTATATCTCTAGGATAGTACTGGCTAACTATTTGTCTTATAGGTTCCTTTGAATGACAGGCAAGCATTCGAATCCGTTGAGACTAGGTCTATGTGTTCCTTGGCTGCTCAGAATGTGCCTAGCAGGGGTGGGGATATGACCTCTAGTGTTCATTCTTCCATTTGAACTGACACAATGGATTCTGGCTTCAAATATCTACTGTTTTTCACTGTTCCTCATTTTTTAAAAATGTTTATTCTTGAGAGAGACAGAGTGAGAGTGGGGGAGGGGAAGAGAGAGAAGGAGACACAGAAACTGAAGCAGGAGAGCCCGACTCAGGGCTTGATCCCACAGACCAGGACATCATGACCTGAGTCAGAGTCGGACACGTAATAGACTGAGCCACCCAGGCGCCCCCACCATTCCTCATTTTTGAGGGATGGGGCAATGATCACTCTAGCTACAGCCTGTTGACAAAGGGCATGGATCAGGATTTCTGGAATGAAACTGCCTTGCGCCAAATTGCGAATATTCCCTAGCACCAGGCTCAGTCCCCATCCTTCCTAGAGTCATTATTTTGGAACTCCCATTTATAGTGTTAGCATCTTATTCTACATTTTATAATGAGGTAAATTAGGTCAGTGCACTTGAACCATTGTCACATTTTAGGAGGTGGTCCTGCAGGTGGACTTCCCAAATTAGGCCTATGTCGTGCATGCAGACAGGTAGGAAATTAGCCAGATATTTGGGAAACCAGAAGAATTCAGGATCCAGCCCAGCTGTATAGATAAACAACAAATACTCAAAGACAATTCATCAGAATTAGAATATGACACCCATGAAAGTGTGTTACTGAAACATAATTTTTTCTCACTAAAATCACTCTCATTTCCATCAAAGATGGCAAAATTAAGACTGATTTTTGGGTGGCTCAGTTGGTTGTGTCCAACTTCAACTCAGGTCATGATTTCGTGGTCCATGAGTTCAAGCCCTGCATGGGGCTCTGTGCTGTCATTTTAGAGCCTAGAGCCTGCTTTGGATTTTGTGTGTGTCTCTCTCTCTGCCCCTTCCCCATTCACGCTCTGTCTCTCTCTATCAAAAAATGAATAAACGTTAAAAAAAGAGTGATTTTTATCTAAAACAAGTCTAGTTATAACAAACTTGGCTTTATTATTTACATAAGTACAGCAAAAATAGTGACTGGCCATATAAGCTTTAAAAATCTGCTTTGCTGAACTTTTCATAAGAAATTTCATATTTTAGAGGCTAAAAGCAAAGCCAAATTTCTTGGCATGAGGTTCAGCTGCATACCTTAGATTTGGATGAATATCTGTCTTCTTGAGAGCCCCCAAGTATCCCCAGTTCCTGAGCTTACTAGGAAGTGTGACCTTCCTTACCACCTGGTAAGGCTACTGGGACCACAGTGAACAAGGTACCAGGCTGACTCTTCCAAGGGTCTTTACTGACTCTAAAATGTCAACCTTCATTCCTTATGACTTCTGGTCATATCTGAGTTTATGCATGTCTTTCTCAAATAATGACATTACAGTCAAAGTCTTACTAATATGACCAATGTTTCCAAGGATATCCTGTTACAAGGAGAACAATGAGCTTCTGCAAATAAGTATAATTGCCATGAAATTAGGAATCCTCACTGAGAGTTTCAAACTCTGGAGAAATCAGATAGGGAGAAAAAGATAAATGTTTGTTTACAATGGAATATTTTACCACATTTTTGTAATTTTAGATTTTATAAGAAAAAAATTGTCCTTAAATTTGGAAAAGCAAACCTGATAGAGAACCAGAAATGTTAAACAAGAGTAAAAAAAATTATAATATTCCTCCTCAATTCTTTCAGTCCCATGTTACTAATTCTTATTCTATTTGGATGCAGTTTTTCCATTAGTTCTGGAAATTCTTACTCAGCTTAGTTTTATGATCTGAAGGTTATCAGAAACCTGTATTCATCAGAAGTCCTTTCCATGAGTCTCCTTGAAGATGAAAAACATTTACAAGAGCATCAGAGTAAAACAATAACTGTAAATGACAAAAGACTTAAAAATAGCCATGGTTAAAGATCTGAGGAGAGTTCGTTATAATGCAAGTGACAAGAAATCTGGTTATTTCTGTGACAAACACTTCAATAATTAGAATTACAAGTGATGACCTGATACCAGGACATATTAAAACTTCAGGAATTTCATATATTTTCCAGAACAGCTATAACAGTCACCCTGTGATATAACCCAAAAGGATTTATCATCACTTATCTAATAGTGCTTCCCACGTAATTTAACATACCAAATAAATAAGTCTAATTAGTCAAAGAGACTTCATTTAGAATTGAATTTTTGGAAATCTTGTCAAAAATATCAGAAGTTTTTTGTTTATTATTTTTTAATGCTTATTTATTTTTGAGAGAAAGAGTGAGACAGAGTGTGAGCAGGGGAGAGGCAGAGAGAGAAAGACACAAGCATCAGAAGCAGGCTGCAGGCTGTGAGCTGTCAGCACAGAGCCCAATGCAGGGCTCAAATCCACAAACCATGAGATCATGACCTGAGCTGAAGTCTGACGCTTAACCACCTGAGCCTCCCAGGCACCCCCAAAATAACAGAAGGTTTTAAAGCACATGACTAAATAGAGTCAGGGATTATGACAAAATTTAAAACTTAATTATCTATATAACCAAGGTGACAATAAGAGATTCTAAAGGCAAAAAAAAGGTTACATAGTTGTTAGCAAAATTAGCTCTTTTAATATTGAGATTTAACTTTCATAAGTAATTGAAGACCTGTTAAAGACATAACATAGAAATTGTTTTCCTAGGCAGATAAAGAAAAGCCTTTGTTTATTATTGTAATGGGACCGAGGTTCACACAGAGAGTTGTGACACTGAGGCTTTTCTTTCCAGGAAGCAACTTTGTGCCGGTACAGGCTCAGTGGGTTTGTACCCGAAAAACTAAGCTTGGAGTGCAGCGGGGTGTAGCCTTTTATACGATTTCTATTTCTTTGTCTCTCATACATGAAAACATACAGACATACGATCTGATTGGGTGGTATTATGTTACAGAGTTGTGAAGTATGTCACCTACTCACACATAGCCAGGTTGCCTTCCCTTATCTTGGGATTTTTCACCACATTCCTTAGGGAGGGGACTCCACCACACTATTTGCTATCAAAAGCAGACCAGCAATGCAAGAAAACTTTATCATCTTCACAGAGAAAGAAACCAGATTTCAATTTTGTGCTATTGTACTTTCCATATTAAAATTCATTTATTACAACCTTAGTCCTGACCACTTATAAAATTCTTTTCCAAGGATTCCTTTTCCACCACTTTCTACAAACTTTTTAAAAAAATATTCAATAGCTGTCCCAAGTTTCTCCTCTCTAAACAACCAGTCTCATTTTAGGACAAAATTACTGTCTTTTCCCTGAACAAGTGTATCTCTATCTCTCATAAGCATATATCTTATTCTCTTTGCCTCCAGAGATGTTTTCCTTGTTATTTCTGTTTTTTTTCATTATACTCATTAGAACTTTGCTTAGAAACATTACTGTTTTGTGAAAACTAAGTAGTGAGCCATTGTGAACTCTCTGTGACATCAGAATTCTCTAGATTGGCAAATCTATTAATATATTTCACAATTTCTAGAAATATGTGCTTTTTCATAGTACAATCTTCCAATAAGGCATAAAATATATTTACTAACACACCCAAATTTATCTTTCGCATCTTTGTAATAAGATAAAGTAAATAAACCTATGTTTAATAATCAATGTTATAATATTTTATCTTATTTGGAAAAGACTTAGATATCCTATGAATTTAGCCCAATTTATCATTTGACCTAGCAAAACTTTAAAGTTTTAGGTAACCAAAGATTGTGGAAGCTATTAAAGTTTTACCTACAAACCTTTTAAACTTAATCACATTGATACAATTTACTTGTTCCTGACAATTATGCTCAGATTACCCATAAAAAGAGTTAGTCATTCTCCTGAGCTATACTCTAAAAAGACAAAACAAAACAAAACAAAACAAAACAAAAAAAACATTTTGCAACTGAAAGCATATAAATTTATTTGACTTAAGTAAATCCAGGCAGAATAAATGCTTTAGTTGTAATGCTGATAACTGTAAAGCCATGTTTATTTTAATTAAACCAAGCCTTAATTTAGCTTTAACATTGAATATTTTTCTAGAGCACGTGACCTTGAGAAACATTTGGGTTTAATTTCTATCTTTCTGAGTTTTAGAATGCCTAATTCCCCTAAATGCTTGTCTTCAACCAACTAAGTAGAGCTCTTTTACCAATTAATTTTAGCAATACCATCTGGAGGTAGAACAGTATGTCATATTTATGACATACATATAAACACACAGATAGAAAGACCACATAGTTAAGATTTGTATTTCCTTGACAAGTAACCTGGAAGCTGTGGGCTAGATTTTGAGCAAGAATGCTTGTCTAGCCATTTGAATTTTTAAAAGCCCCTCCCCCCCTTTTTTCTTTCCACCTTAAAAATAGAGAATCGTCTAGATAAGAGTTCCCAGAGAGGTTGAAGGATTTTTAATTCTTTCTGGGTCGTATTTCATATTTTGCAAATTATTCACAAGGTAAGGACAGTTGCTTTCAATCTCTCAAAGAATTGGGTTGCAACATAAAAGCCATGATGGGTTGATCTATTCGTC